CTGAAATACACAATGGCTGCCAAAGATCATGAAGGTGGCGCAGGACCAGGCAACGTTTCATTCTGCTGAACATGGCGTCACCAATAGTCAGAGCCGATTCGATGGCAACTAACAAACAACATTCCCACCCTAAGAACTGTCTGCCCTTTTCTTGTCTAAGTCTCCACACCAACCCTGAATTTCAATAGTATTTTACCCTATTTTACCAAGCACTTTCACAAACATCTTCTCTGAACTTCATAACAGCCCTTCGAACAAAATTGAGTACCACCAGCCTTGTTTCATTGAGTGTGAAAACTGAGGCTTAAAATCATGTAGCTCTCCACTGTCAGAATCGGGGGTTGGTTGGTTGTTTCTGACATGAAATCTAGTCTGTTTCCGCTCAGGCGCATTGCCGCCACACAGCACTTCCTTACATTTCTGTAGGGCTTTGTCTGTAGAGTGGGCTCCCATGTGTTATTGCACTGGCTGCTGTCCTCGCTCCACAGTGCTTTCCCCCACATGGAAACACTGTCCTGGACATTTATTCCCCAAAGAAAGGGGCATGATAGTTGCACTGGATTAAATCGTGTCCCCCCCAAAATGCATGTCCTTCCCAGAACTTCAAGATGTGACTCATTTGGAAAAAGGGTCTTTGCAGAAGTAATTAGTTAAGACGAGGTCATACTGGCTTAGGGTGGGCCCGAGATCCAATATGATCTGTGTCCTTATAAGAAGAGGAGAAGAGAGGTAGACACGGAGCCTCACAGGAAGAACGCCACGTGAGGATGAAGGCAGAGACTGGGGTGATGAAGCTACGGGCCACGGAATGCCATAGATGGTTGGCAACCGCCAGAAGTTGGAAGAGGCAAGGAAGGATTGTCCTCTAACCAAAACTAGTTGCCATTGAGTCAATCAGAGTAGAACCGTGCTCCATAGGGTTTTCAATGGCTAATTTTTTGGAAGTAGATTGCCAAGACTTTCTTTTGAGGCATCTCTGGGTGGACTCGAACCTCCAAACTTCTGGTTAGCAGCTGAGCACTTTAACCACCTGTACCACCCAGGGACTCTGCGGTAAACTATAGGTTCCCCTATTCATTTAGTATAGCAAGTCTGCTCTAGTTTATTTATTTATTTGCTCTAACCCTTCACCTTTGGGGTAGGAGGCTAGTTTTCTTAACCAAGACATTTTCCTAACAAGCTGCTACTCTAAGATGAGCTCTTGGGTTCCACTGTAAATTCAGACACCCAAAAAAACTCACTGCCGTTGAGTCGCTTCCCACTCATAGTGACCCTATAAGACAGAGTAGAACTTCACCATAGGGTTTCCAAGGAGCAGCTGGTGGATATGAACTGCCGACTTTTCGGTTAGCAGCTGAACTCTTAACCACAGCTCCTTTCTTTCCTGCTCAAATACTAATAATAACCTGCTTTGGGACGTAGTCCTCATAGCCTAGCGGGACTATCACTTTGGTTGGAAGAAGCAGGTTGGTGTTCACATGCACAATTGTTGAGGTGCCTGGCGACTTGCCTATATTCTCTACATTTCATGAGTGTGGCTGACATATGGACATTCTTGTAAATTCTGCTCCTCCTAACTTTAGAAAAGGGGAACATACAAGAGCCTTTGGCTTGAAAGAGCTGAAGACACTGCCTCAGATCCACAGAAAAATAAGTACAAGTTAGCCAAGCAGAAACTTTAAGGACTATTGTGTCATGTCTCCATCTCTCTTATATTTCCCCCTCAGTCTTAAGATCAACGTGCCCCAGATGGGAGTTGCTGGTTCAGCCTGAGACTTGGAATGAAGAGATGAGTAGCAAGCAGAGTCACCACTGACCTACAATGGACATGAATATTAGAAAGAAAAAAACCTTTGTGTGTAATTCACTAAGATTTTGATTTGAGAGAAGTCCCTCGGTGGCACAAGCATTTTGCAATCGGCTGCGAAGTTAAAGGTTGCCTGTTGGAGCCTACTCAGTGGCACCACAGAACAAAGGCCTGGCAATCTACTTCTGTAAAGGTTATAGACAAGAAAACCCTGTAGAGCAGCTCTACTCTGTAATGTATGGGGTCACCAAGAGTCGAAATTGACTTGACGGTAAAGGGTTAACAGGTTTACTGCAGCAATTTAACTTAGCCTGAACTAATGAATACAGGTGATTTTGAAATTTAATTTCAGCTAGGAAAAGAGGGTTTCATTGGTGGGCTTTTAATTTCCCTTTAGAATCTTATTTATGCAAGAACCTTCATACTGTTCCAAGAATAGACATTCTACAGTGCTGGCATTAGAACTAATACAGCTACACCATCAAATGTTACTCACTGAATAACCTGGGCACATTAGTGAGGATGGTTAACATATTTGACCATAATGCAAAGTAGACAATAGAAAGAAAAAAAAAAAAGTGAATTTTCATCCTGGGATTATGTGACCTCAATTAATGTCCTCCCCTGACAGATTTCAGAGGATTCTGCAGGTACCAGCACAATTGCCCATCTCGCTGATGGTAGTGAACGCTGGCCAAGTGGCCACCTCCATGGGGGGAGCAGGATTTTAGGGGCCCTTGTCTGACCTCTGTCTTTGAAGGTCAGTCTCACCCTGGTCAACCACAGGCTTGGCCTTTGAGTCCAATGAGCCAATGGAAACCAACTAAAAGCAGGAAAATGTTCCCTTCCCAGGGAGAGATTACCCAATTGGACACCGTTTCCTGCTGGGGGAAGCCTGTGCACTAACAGCTAAACCCAGTGGTTTGGTTCTCTCTCAAGTCCCTTCCTTTGCATCAAGGTCGTGGGTCAGAAATAGAACCCTGGAGAAGAAAAGTATGGAGGACATCTTTAAAGGACAAAGCATGGAGCCCCAAAAAGGCAGAGAAAAGAAAGCCAGAAAGGAGAAGAAACTCCGTGGAAGCTAAGGGAACAGGGTTTCAAGAAGAAATACAGAAGAAATGCGTGGTCAACAGGATCAGAAGGAGCAAAGGGGCCCAGTGGGAAGAGGTATGAAAATCCCTATCAATTGGCAACCAGGGGGTCATAAGTGTCCTTTTCCAGAACCACTTCTGAATGGGTCAGAATCAACTGCAGTGGGATAAGGAGAGAATGAAGAGAAGAAAGTGAAGACAGCAAGCTTAGACTATGCTTTGAAGAGCTTGGCTGAGAACAGTGGGAAAACACTAGTGACTAGAGGTTACCTGGAGGTTGAGGGTCAATGTGAATAAGGGATGGAAGTATTTCACACTCTACCTGATACTTGTCTAGAATACGAAATACTCATAAACCTTCCTAATATTTACTTTCTTTCATTGATCTAATTTCTACTCTCTACTCCCTGCCCCCATCATTACCCTGTCCTGGAGACACACAAACACACTGAAGCAACTATGCAAATGACCTCATAAGATGACTACACCATCAAATATCCCCATGATGGTTAATTGTACGGGTCAACTCGGCTAAACACTAGGCTAGATGCCATTCATAATGTAATCTAACGCAACGTGATGCAATCACCTGCCATAACGTAATCTAACGTAATCTCATCAATCAATAAACTGAAAAAGGAATTTCCTTAGGGTATGTTTAGTGTCCAGACTATAAATAGATATTTTGGCAGAATTTGCTCTCACTCCACTCTGTACTCTTTTTGTTGTCCAGCCTACAGATCTTGGGACACAAGCCTGCAGAAGTCTTCAGCCTGCCACCTACAAATTTTGGACTTGCCAGCCTCTACAATCACATGAGCCAATCCCTTGAAGTAAATCTCTCT